AATAATAATAATAAAATAACACAAAAACCCCAAATCTCAATAATCCTGTTCCAAATACAACATGTTAATTATCGAATTATTTCTCTTCCACAGCAACATTACCCCACGAGGAAGCGGGGCGGAAAGCAGAGGACAGGTCGCCCAATCCAGACAAAGCTTACTGAAACTCCGACACAAACACGTCATGTAGCCTACTGGTGGGCGCTCTAAGTGTTAGCTAAGCTGGTACATTGTATCATGCTGGACTACGAAAAGTCCGGTTCGAATCTCAGACTGGTCGTTTTTGAACTCTGGTCGTTTTGTGAGTTTTCAAAGTTCTCAACCCGGCATCTGGCTCGACCCTATTGGAGACGGACATTAAATAAATTCGAGGGTCCAGCCTTTCACTTTTACTTTAGAAAGGGGTTCTCGTGGTCTTGAAGTGCAGTGTTCAGCTCTCATTCAATAAGCCCTGGGTTCGAAACCTGATGGCGATGGAACATTTTCTTCTTAAAAATTTTCTCGTTTTTTTTTTTTACCATCTTTCCTGCTCTCACATCATGTTCTGAATTTTGCTTTCACTTCCACTTTAAAAATTTGGCAAACACTCAGATTCGAAATATGAACGTCTATGCCCTGTCTGAGGGTGTAACCAACAGCACACTACAAAGAACAGCCTTTTATTCTGTGACCACCTTTTCATTGTCCATCAGTGTCTTAAATAACAATATATATAAAACCACAGCAATAACAATTATGACATACTACAAAAGCGTTGTCTACTTGTTCCCTCGAAGACAGTGTGCGTGTTCTTTTTTTTCCAAAGGAACACTGTCTTTTCATTTCGTCCTGTATTGGCTAAAAATTTATGTTTTAAACAATTAAAACCTTTTGTTTTTGTTTATTAGAGGTTTTTACAGCGCTGGCAACTGCATAAGGTCATATGAGCGCCAGAATATTAGAGGTGTTACAAGAGAGTAACAAACATAAAAAAGAAGGAGGGGAGATAAGGACGAGATGTTTGATAGGAAAGAAAGAGCAAACCACACCAGAGCACCCGCCAACCAACTACAATTAAACCGTTCAATAAGAAATAAATACACACACCCTTGCATGTGCCTTCAACAGTTACAAGCACAGTAAAACCCTGATAACATAAACTAAAAGGGACCAGAGAATTTCTTCATGTTCAGGTGGCCTTGCGGTTAGACTTCCAGACTCGCAACCAAAATGTCGTGGGTTCCAATCCTGGTCAGGGGCCCGATATTGTGTCATTGGGAAAGGGACTTTACATGTATTTTCCTCACTTCACCCTAGTGGGGATGGGTACATAACATGAATGATACAATACAGTGAAAGATCTTTTCAGTTTGTGTTTGAGAGCGTACAATCCACAGCTAGCACTATAATATGCTTCTAGGGAAACCTAGGATATTTTTGAGTGTGTTAGCTGTCTGTCATACATCTAAAATATGTCACTACATTGTATTGGGCTAGAGGGTATAAACCCTTGAGTTTTTTATTTGGTCGCTTTTAAGCACAAGGGGGCCATCCTGAAAAATGCTGTTTTGAGTAAATCGAGGGTAAAGCTTTTGCCCCTTGTTTAGTTTCTTTAAAAGGCAAAGAGAGTTTTCTCCATTACAAAACAAAAAACATACACACCAATGAAATAAAACTTCTCCTACTGGTGGGGCAAAGCCCACTTTTGGTATAAGTCAAGATTTCTGGAAACCCCTGAAATCTGAGTTAGCCCGCTTGTCCTTAAACGCGACCATTTTTAAAATTTGTTGACGCGAAAACAAAATGCGAAAGGGGACATAACAAAGACAACACATTATTGATTTTAAAAGCCAAAGATGTTATTTTCCCTGCAAAACAACTTGTTCCATACCACAATACTTATTTCAAAGCTTTGTTTTGCTAAAATTTCATAGTCACAGCACCAAAAAATTCTATCAATAACTCAAAGGGCAACAACAAAAAATGGAAAGATGATAAAAAAAACAATCATTTTTATTAACAAAATAGTGTACACTGCTCCTTTTGAAAATTGAAAAGTCTTTCTTTAGAGGAGACAAAATCATAAAGTCCAAGGGCAATTAAAGTTAAAGACAAAACCAAAGCATCATTCAGATTAATTCAATTAATTTCATCGCAACAATACTTTTCCTTAAGACTGAACAGAAATGACAAAACAGAGGTAGTTCAAAAGACTAAAAAGCATAGAATCTAACTACAGAGATAAAAGAACGGTTTAAAAAAAATGTAAAATAATTATAGGGAAAAACATCTCATCAACAGTTGGACACCTTCAAGAGGTAATCCTATCAGAAAACAGAAAACTCACTCATTCCTAAAATCATTTGTCACACAGATTAGTTTCCTTCGCCCTGTGATCATTCACATTCATGTGTACAAAACACACTTATCCATAGACATGGGCACAACACACACAGAGAAAACACACCTATCCACATTCATGGGTACAACACACACATATAAAACACACCTATCCACATTCATGGGTACAACACACATATATAGAAAACACACCTACCAACATTCATGGATACAACACACATATACACCTACCCACATTCATGGGTACAATACACACATAGAAAACATACCTATCCACAGACATCGATACAACACACACACAGAAAACACACCCACCCATATTCATGGGTACAACACATACAGAAAACACACCTATCCACAGACATGGGTACAACATACACACCTGAAAACACACCTATTCATATTCATGGGTACAACACACACATAGAAAACACACCTACCCACATTCATGGGTACAACACACACACACAGAAAACACCATCCACAGACATGGGTACAACAAACACAGAAAACACGCCGGTCCAATCACAATCCAGCACCACCGCGGCATGGAGGAGACTGGCCCACATCTTGAGACGTCTCCCATTCCTTTGGGGTTTTTGCCTGGGAAAAGAACACAAAACAGCATCTGTTGAAGTCAGAAGCTATACAAGTAAAGTTTTTTTGTTTTTGTTTTTAAATTAGAGGTTTTACAGAGCCCGCAATTGCATACGGTCATATGAGTGCCAGAAGATTAGAAAGGTTACAAGAGAGTAACAAACATAAAAAAGAAGAAGGGGAGATAAGGACGATATATGTTTGATAGGAAAAAAGAAGTAAACCACACCACAGCACCCGAAAACCACCCACATACGTGTAAAGACAAGCACATCGACACAATAATGACAATTTAGTGCAGGGGGGGAAATAACATTATAAATCGAAATAATAGAGGGAACGAAAAAGAGTTGAACCTACTTATGTCCTCCCCACCCACACCCACAATATTATATATGTGGGAATTTAAAAGAGGCATGGGATGAAAATAAGGAAAGACATACTTCTAGATCCCCATAGGAAGATATTACATCTTCCTATGTTATAGGGATACTGGAAAATACTAAACTAAACAGTACTCGTGTCAACCTACTAAGTAATGACAGACTAGTCTAGCACGTAGATAGCAAACACACACATTGCAAACACATTTTTAAAATTTCAGGTTCTGACTTTTCTTTTTGCAAGTATTCTTTATATTATATAAATTCAAGGCACAAACATAGCATAAATAGTTGGGATATAATGGTCAAAAATATTAACATCAGCAAGTTTAGATCTAAATAAATGAGAGTGAGAGACAGCGAGAGAGAGAGAGAGAGAGGGGGGGAGAGAGGGGGGGGAGAAAGGGTTGAGAGAGGGAGAAGTAGGTGTAAAAGAGTGATATAAAGAGGGAGACAGAGAGAGAGAGAGGGGGAGGGGGGGGGGGCACAGTATGAGTGTAGGACAATGACCTCTTTATAAGTCAAGAGCAATCGTGTATGACAAGGATATCGTAGGCCAACATCAAAAAAGTGTTCAGCAGAAGATGTAACCAACATACTTCAGTTTAGTGTGGGGAAACCTCATTCCCCAGAAGGCAAGTTTTATTGATCCCTCGTGTGTCAGCAATGTTTCTCCTCTATAACAGAAAAGAAGTAGGACCTACCGGTGGCACTCTTCAACCATCCATAAACCCACAAGCTCAGTGGTTAACAATAACAACAACAACATATATTAATATTACAAAGCTTCCAGCAGAAGCTTACTTGAGTGGGAACACTTACAACAATGGACAATGCGTGAATGGATGATTCCAACTCCTCTTCCAAGGCTTTATGAACCAGCTGGTGTTTCTAACAAAGAGAAGATATAAACAATTTAATGGCGAGCATCTATGTTGTTTGTGTAAAGAGAAATCCATTAACACAACAAACTATCTATCGAGGCAGGGAAAAACAAGACAAACTGAGGGAAAAAAGATGAAGGAGTAGAATCTATCTGAGGTACCCTCGGACAGCTGCATTTGTACAGCTGTTGACATTCCTCTGAACCAGTGACCATCGGAACTTGAGCCCTTCAGCCTACATGTTGCTGACACAAATTGAACAAAGCATGCAATGTCGTATTTATTTATGCTACATTCTAATCTTATTTATTTAGTACTGCACTGGGACATGGCACATGAAGACTAATTATTATACAACCTGGTCTTTTAAGACATACAAACTCAATTTTAAATTTAATGCTGCAGACCAGTATATATGTTGAGCTGGAAAAAGGTGTAAGTTCAGTTATCTTTTTATTGAAACTTAAAATTTCTGAACCCTACTTCAAAAGGTTAAAATCACAACACTTGAGCAAAAAGCATACACGGAAGTAATTTTGTGAAACTAAGAATACTTCTGAAAAAAACTTCTGGTGATATCTTCTACCTATTTTACAAAAACGATCGCAATTTTTTGTTTTCTAACCGCCCTGAAAGAGACCATGAGACAATATTTCATTATTATGAAAGGTAAAAATTACATTTTTTAACTTATTCTGTTGTAATAATATGAAACAAAGCATAGAATCAAAGATATAGAGAAAAATACACTCTACTCTAATGCTTTTCAATCAGGAATACAGTGTCCTAGTAGACTGTAACATTTAGTCAGTAAATTGAGCTGTAGAGGCTTACCTGTAAACGTTTCACATTCTCAAAGGCCGTTGAAACAATTACAACCTTGAAGTGAGACTCAGTCCCCTTGGGAACGTTGTGCATGTAGCTCTCATTGATGACATCTAGATGCTGGGGCTAAGGAAGGAAGAAAAAAACCCCGTTAAAAATGTAATATGAGTATGAGTATGAGCTCATGTGAGAAAGATAAAAAGGAATTCCAGGCTCTAAAATTTCATATCATTATAATAAGCAATATATAATAGATTAGAACTAAAAGTGTCCAGGAAAATTAGAACAAAAGTGTCCAGGAAAATGTGTTCCGCAACTTTAGAGGCATTTTTCTTAAAACTTTGTTTCAATGGTTACTGACTTCAAAACACCACAACTGCTAAGAATTTAAAATCTTGAAAATTTACAGGCAAAATGTAGAGAACTGAAAGAATTTAATATAAGATGACAGTCTGATTGTAAAAACGTCCGAGAGTTCCAATAAGTCTAGCTTCCCCCCTCCACCCGCATAAATTTTCCTTCTTTTACCTAACTAATAATAAAGCAATAAGGTCAGCAATCAATATTACCTTCAAAGCCTCCGTCAGCTTTGTGCGTATAGCAGTCTCCACTGGTTTCTGAAAATAAAATTTTAATCATACATTAGTTAAGTTATTGTACCGTAATTTCTCGATAGGAATATATTCATTCACTTAATACTTTTGTAAATATCTACAATCAATGTAAGAAACAATTTGAGACTAGGAATCTCAGGCATCAAAACCAGCAAATCTGATGAAAAAAAAGTGACCACACTCAGCGACTGACTTCCATATATATATAATACTTATGCTTTGAGTTTGAGAACCTTTTACTGGGTTACTGATCTCTCCCGTCACCCCCAGTTTTAGGAAGGTTAATCATCATGGTTAAGATATTCAAAATATTGGGTCCAAATGGTATGTTACACCATGGTTTACTAACTATGGTAAATTGCCCTTCAATTTAACCTGGTAGCCTAACAATTTAAGTTTTAGAGTAAGAGTTTTACGGCACTTGCAACACAATAAGGTCATGAGTGCCGAAGATTGGAGGTGTTACAAGAGAGTAACACACAAAAAGGAGAGGAGATATGACGATAGATGTAGGAAAGAAGAAGCCAACCACACCAGAGTACCCACCAACCACCCACTAACAATTCAATAGACAAGTTAGATCTAATTGAAGTTATAATGAAATTTATAAGATTAATTTTATATAATTTTGTAAATAATGTACTGGTACGAGGTCAAAAACCTTGTTCAAGTCCCAAGCCAGTCACCAAGTCTCTCTACTGACCTTTAAATCTAGATCTAAAGCTAAAAGGAATTAGAAGATCTACTAAGAATTGAATTCTGTCTGTAACTTGACTTTTATTTAACGATATACACAAAACTTGATTAAATTTGATGTCTGGGAAGACACAAGCCAAATTATGCCAAATATCAATTCAATTCAGTAGGCCTAGATCTAGGCACTCCCATACAATTGCTGTCCCGTTAGGGGATACACTTGTTTTGACCCCACCGATGATTGCTTCTGGTTCTAAACGATTGTAAACTGTTTGATACGCGTGCCGATATGGACAGATAAGATCAAGTGAAATTTTACTGCTCATTTTGTAGGCTAGATGTACCGATAAAACATTGATACAGACTCTATTTAAATCAGTATCGATATAGATATCTAGTACTCTGTGCTAGGCCTAGTGTGATTTAGCCAAGTGCAACCGTGACAGCTATTGTACAGGAGTGCCTAGATCTAGTCCAAGACGTCCAAGTATAACACGGGGTGCCCATTGCCGCTTGCGGATGGGATCTGATCAGGTCGGGGGCGATCGCCCCACTCATCTCCCGTCGCCTGAAAACAAATGCATTTGTATAGATTATATTTGCCTTTGGTGACGAGTCGGGCGCGTTCGGCTTGTTGCCACGAAGGCATCTTTGTGCACTTAATCTGGCTAGTAAACCGACCTGACCCGACCCCCCAATGGGGACTCTGTATGCTGTATAAAAGTTTAGAATCTAGATCTAGATCTATATCTAGATACTAGTCTAGATCTAGATCTAGATTAGATATAGAGTCTAGATCTAGATCTAGATCTAGATTCTATATTCTAGATTCTCTAGATTTATAGATCTAAGAATTTGTTTACCGATTTGAAACATTGACATTGCCTAACGTTGTTATTGACCTCGTCAACTTAGATTTAGATACATCAACAGTACGATAAACTGTGAAATTTACGACCACTCACTTCATCACCCATGACTGTTGAATGAATGCTAGCACCACTGCAAGGCAATGACTTTGCAAAAGAATTTACTTTGGCAAAGCGGGCGTACTGATAGACAGACCGACCAAACTTCAGAGCCATTCGGTTTCGCTTTGCAAGAGGGATCACTCTTGACTCTTTTCTTCAGTTATCAGCTGACTCTCCTGTGGGGGAGGAAAAGTATTTCGTACAGGCAAAGAGGTTATAAATAGAGCTCGATGTCTTAGCTGTGACGTCACGAGTGTCAAACTTGGGCGCGCCGCCATTCCTGAGAGGAATATTAAGCCAGTCTGTGCATAGAAATACTTTTCAATCACGGATTAATGATAATCAGCAGTCTTTTGATGTTTATTTCTTTTTTAAATGTGATTTGCCTAACGCTAAAATTTACTCCTAGGCAGTGGCGGTGTGTTCTAAAAGTGGATGGGGCTGAGAAACGTGAGGAGGTTGAGTTCAAAGATAATAATAATAATAATAATAATAATAATAATAATAATAATAATAATAATAATAATAATAATAATAATACGTAGATAGTATGATATTAATAATGATGAATGTATAAAAGGGCGATTTAAAATAATTTGCATTCGCCCAGCACACAGCCTTCAACGAGATTATAATAGTACTAGAGGTCGCAGCTGTGACGTCACCCACGTAAATTGCGGGCCCCACTCAGCTCGCTTTGTCGTTATTTTTTAGAGGATTAACAGCGCTGTTACTCTGCGCGTGCCTTCAACGCCTAGGTCTTCATAGAGTTTAAAGCTCCGTGCAGTTTTATCTTAAGTTTTCTTTTTGTTTGCTGTTGTTGTAATCATATAACGGGGGCTCTCGTGGCCTACAGGTTAAGGTGTTGGCCTCTCATTCAAAAGGTCCCGAGTTCGAATCCGGGTAGCGACCGAAAAATTTTCTTCTCTAAATTTGTCTCCTTTCACCTCATTTCCTGCTCTCTAGCAATGTTCTGTCGTCTGCTTTCGTCTCCTCTTTCTGCCCCCACCCCCTCACCTCCTTTGCCCCTTCCTTTGGGCTCCTGATTCTTTCTGCAGCCTTTCTACTGCTACTCTTTCGCTTCTTCTTACTGCTGTCTTTCAGCCACACCCCTGATCTTCTGGTAGGAAAGATCTACACCTAGCCTTCTCGGACAAGAGCGAACAATCTCGGAGGGCCCGTGTGCAAGTTGCACACGTTAAAGATCCCTTGGTGGTCTAAAATCGATAAGTGTAGGCTTCGGCCGCCACCCTGGCAAAATTCAAAATTTCCTACCAACTGAAAATATTAGGTGTGTCCCGCGCGCTCATATGACCTTATGCAGTTGCGAGCGCCGTAAAACACTTTTACAAAAACAAAACAAATCATATAACATACGCGCATACACAATACCGCACCTGCTGACCGATTGTTTTATGCACTACAAATGAGCAGAGAGATATAATAATAATAGGATGCATTGTTTATTTTTCCAGGGTGGGATGGGGGAGGGGCGGAGGGAGACTAAGTGAGTAATTGAGACTGTTAAGAAAAACGACGATTTAATCATAATTACAGAATGTAAATTTTAATAATTATATTACTTGTATTATTATTATTATTATATTATTATTATTTTTATTATTATTATTATTATTATTATTATTATTATTATTATTATTATTATTATTATTATTATTATTATTGTTGTTATTATTCTTTTTGTTGTTCGTGTCCACTGTGCACATTTTATTGTTGATGTTGGTGGTTTAAAGTCATGGCTGAGGAGTGGAGGAATGATTGGATAATGTTGGTTCTTCAGGTGTGGCAAGGTTGTGGTCGGGTCGGGTCGGTTTTTAATTTAGTTTTAGTAAGAGTTTTACGGCCCTTCCAACGCAAGAAGGTCATATAAGAGGAGGAGAAAGAAGGACGACATAGCTTTTGATAGGAAAGAACGGTTTTGCAAGCCAGATAGGCCTAAAGGGTTCAAGCGGCTATCGTGGCACAAACTCGTCCGACTCGTAGCCTCAAAAACAAAAGGGTATTTTTTTTTTACTAATACACCCGTCTCATGTACACGTTTGATATACTTTTATTCTAGTAGTATTTTGCATGCTGAACACGAATATGGCCTTCATTTTTGCTGCAAATCAATAGTTATTGAGTTATTGATGTTTGAAAATAGTAGATTTAACTATAATACTATAAATGGGGTTTCAGGGGGGGCATGCCCCCCTGACCTCAAAAGAATCTGGGGGGTTTCGGGGGGGGGGGGGCATGCCCCCCTGAATTTCACAATGATTTGATGTTTTGGCAATTAGGATTGATATTTACTTGAAAACAATTGATTTGCAAGGGTTTTAGTGGCCATGCGTGTGTTCTACAGCAAAAATTGGGGCAGTTTATGCATCTATGTGTGGGTGCAAAAGTAAAAATTTACCGTCTGTTTGTTTTCAGACGACGGGCGAGTCGAGCGGTCGACCCGACTCGACCCCACCCGATCCGATTCGCAATAGGCACTAAGCACCCGGTACTTTAGGAGGATGAAAATAATAGTGATCGTAGAAGGTCCACATGCAGAAAAAATTAATTAGTGAGACAACTTCCAGGCATTTAGACATAATATTGTGGTTGGGTGCACAACATTACTTAAACATAAATTATTAATAATAATATGGTGCCTGTCGGTGACGCATAGCCTAATAATTATGCCTAAATTACCCTGTCCAATTCTTTGAGAAAAGAAAACAAATAGCCCAATAAAAGCCGAATATTGTAAAAGGGATTTTTTTCCTTCTTAAAATGAGTAGGCCTATGCTAAACAGCAGATTAGTTCAATGGTTAAGTAGTAGGCCTACGAAAAGGATATTTCTTTTAAAGTATACTGGGTACGATAATGCAATATTAAAGGTGTCTTTAATAATACACGCATATTCTTTAAAACTTCATGAAACTACAATTATTGGCTTTCAGAGGAGTAAGACGTTGGATTTTCCTTTTAGTAAAAAAAATAAAATTCTGAAATGGCAAAGTAAAACAGTATCATAAGTTCCACTTACCGTGACGTCATTGTTCCACTTACCGTGACGTCATTGTTCCACTTACCGTGACGTCATTGTTCCACTTATCAAATCAATGTGAGGTGCCGTCCCATACCTTCTGCTCTTTCTTTTTTTTGTACCAGTAGCCTACCCTTACCACAGGGCCAAAGTTTCGGAGGTAATAGGCAAAGACCAGTGGTTTTTAAGTAATTTTTATTTCTGTTTTGATTGTCCATGCGTGCCGACATTAATCATGGTCCGTCTTGCTTTTTTGCCCGCACTTAATAAGTTAAGTGGTTGTTTTGTGCAGTTTGCTTCTCTTTACTTCAAAAGATACCCTACTATTTTAGTCAGCTACAACTTTCACCTTATATATTAATTTTGTTTTCACACTCAGCAACATTAAATACAACGTTGTAGGAGCAATTTAAAAAGAAATTAATGATGGTAGGCTTAATGCCACCGTAGACTGGAATTTGTAAGCTTCTTTTCACTTCGATCCCTTGAGAGGGGTCTTTAGACCTTGGAATGACTGCATGAACTAGTTGTGAGTCTAAAAAGAATATTCAGGACTGAAAAGTAAACATGATATCTGACAATCGCTACTATTAATTTAATACACTCAACGACTTGGGTTACTGGATAGGCTACTAATTAATAAACTTATTGTTCATTATTACTATGCTGGCAAAAAGAAGAGCGAGAGACAGGACATTTTCCTCTTTGAAGACTTGTTTTTTAAAAAGTGAAAGGCATAAAATGATGCTCTTATAAGCATCAAATTTTCGATCCAGAATTTCTGTTCATTTGCATGATAGAATAATGAACGGGCCTATCGATATTCTGTGAGAGCTTGGTTGTCCTTTGAATACCTCTTCGAGAGTTCTGAAGACTGTGTTTTCTTCTTCTTTGTTATTAAATGTTTAAAGAGGCATACTGGTGGCGGCGGGGATGTTCACAATTGTATGTCGTCATAATACATTGTTACACCGCAGGAGGGGGGGGGGAGGGGAGGAGAAAGAAAGGGTAGTGGAGGGGTGGGGTAGGGGGGGGGGGGTGGGGGGCTCTATCCCGCATGAATAATTTATTTTCATCATAAAATTGCCACATTCTCTCTGCCGCCATGGTCACATCTTTTCTACGTGTACACTTTATTACAATAACTTTCATTGCTTTCAGCACTGCTCTCTTTTTAAACGACATTCAGTACCTGCATTGAAGGGACAGAAAGGAGTTAAGTAATAATAGAGTAATGAATGTTTAAATGTTTAAAATTAAATTGATCACTGATCCCCTACGGCGTCGGTCCCGTCTTCTAAATGATCAGTAAACCCTTATTGATGCTGTAATGTTTTATGAACCATCCGCACATTTAGAAAAATTAAAATGCGCATTATTTCGATCCTGTTTCTCCTCTAACAAGTTTTTTCTTTTGATAATTCTACCCCGCCCTCCATTCTCCATCCTCCCCCCCCCCCCCCCCCTAAAAATGTCTAGCCTACAGGTCATTCAGGAAGATGGGGCACGGATTATGCTATTGGTCATACTACTCCAGTGTGAAGAGAGAGAGAGAGAGAGAGAGAGAGAGAGAGAGAGAGAGAGAGGGAGAGAGAGGGAGAGAGAGAGAGAGAGAAGGGGAGAGAGAGAGAGAAGGAGAGAGAGAGAAAGAGAGAGAGAGAAAGAGAGAGAGAGAGAGAGAGAGAGAGAGAGAGAGAGAGAGAGAGAGAGAGAGAGAGAGAGAGAGAGAGAGAGAGAGCGTACTAATTTGAATGCTATTTATTGATTGCCACCAACTCGCATGCTCGATAAAGGTGAGCCAAAAAAGAAGCAGAAGAGCCGGAGAAGGGGGGTGGCTTCTAATTAAGGGTTATCATTTAACACAATTTATAAAGCTGAATAATTAATTTGCCGTTGCTATTACAGCGTGTCTTATCTTGGCTATAGAAGTGACAAGAGTGATTTTTGGTCTAGCTTTGTTGAAAGATTAAGAAAACCATTTATGTGTCTAGTAAGTGCCAGATCAGTGTTGTAGATGGCTCTTACAAGAAAGTAACTATGGTAGTCTGGCCAGAGTACCCAAGTCTTTCATCTTGAGATCCAGCATGTAAAAGCCCACGAAAACCAAAGG